ACTGGTCGTGCGTCTGTCTGTCTGTCTGTCTGTAGCGTACACGCTCACTTTTCTCAGCAACTACAACACAAATAGTTCCCAAAATTTTGCCCCGAACACCCCCTAAAGGTCCCACGGGGGGAGTTTATCTTATATTCACGATTACTACCGTTTGAAATATTCAAAACATCTTTTTGAATTAGGTCTTAGCGTGGTTGGGTTGGCAGCTATATAGAAATTTTTTCATACTTGCGGCCGCGGCTCTCAAATACGGGACTGGCAAAACATTGGCAAATAAAACAAAATAGAGAGGAGAAGGGCTTAGAAGTGAGTTCGGTCTTATTTTTTCGATATTCTAGAATGATTAAAACCCCCTCCGGAGTGTCAACACAGTGAAATACGGAAAAGAAAGTGACAATTATTACGCGTTTCGTCCGTCCGTCCGCCCCCCCCCCTCCCCCGCCACGGGGAAATGTTTTAGTCAGTGGAGTGTGTTTGATCGTTTGATAATTGCAAGAATGTTTTGGTCTTTTTAAGTTTTGAGAGTGTATTTCCATTTTTATTCTCAGACATTATACTTTTAGTTGTTTGCTTTGCTCAATAACAGTTAGAAAATAGATCAATGAAATCAAAAAGTACAAACCAGACACTAATCTTGCCAAAATAAATAGTCTTTGCTGACTTTTGGCACTGACTCGGGGGAAAGGGCTTCATAGCAATGCTGTAAGTTTACTATAGTACTAACCTTAAAGATAACTATATGGTGAGTGAGAGTAGCGCATACAGGGTTTGATTTTGACATCTGATTCAATGAGACGATTCAGTGACTTGGTCATATGATTTCATGAGACGATTTTTTTAAAATTTCATCATACATTGTCTGCGACAACTGGTAATTTGTGTCAGTCATGGTTGAGTTGGCTGTCTTTTTAATTTATTCAGAATGTTAGGAAAATACTTATGCTATACTGTTTTAAAGATTAAATATCACATCATGACTATCATTATCAATAAGATAAACTTGCATTTAGCAATAAGTGGCCTCGACATTGGATTCTATGACACGATTCATTGGATCTGACAGAAGGTCTTCTCCGTAAAGTAGTTGCAATCAGCCTGCCTGTAAATTTTCCCTTTTTTAAATTTAAATTTGAGATAAATCAATGTAGTTTTATCCACTAGTTTAAATTAAAAGGGGGATAAAAAGGGTTTTTAGGTATTACTTATAACATTGTGTATTCAAATTCAATAACAAGGAGATATCGAATGGAATTGAAGCATTTGTGAATCGTATTAAGTAATTCAATGCTGGCTGTTGAATGTTACTCGACTGAGTAAAGTGTCAGGGGTTTATGTTTCGACAAAAAGAACAGGAAACACACTTAGAAATTGCGAAAATGACTTCCAATTTCATCCCAGACCATTTTTTCCCAAAATTTACCAATTTCTGACCAAAATTTTGAAGTCGTGTTCTACATAGTTTCCTGCAGTTTTTGGGGGTGCTGATCACGAAAATGACTTCCAATTTCATCCCCGACCTTTACTTTTCCAAAAATTTACCAATTTCGGACCAAAATTTTTTAGTCGAGTTAACATAGTTTCCTGCAGTTTTTGGTGTGCTGATCACGAAAATGACTTCCAATTTCATCTCAGACCTTTACTTTTCCCAAAAATTTTCCAATTTTGGACCAAAATTTTTGAGTCGAGTTTTACATAGTTTCCTGCAGTTTTTTGGGGTGCTGATCACGAAAATGACTTCCAAATTTTATCCCAGACCTTTTCTTTTCCCCAAAAATTTTCCAATTTTTGACCCAAAAATTTTAAAGTTGAGTTTTCCCCTTGTTTCCTGCAGTTTTCAGTAAGATAATCACGAAATGACATAAAATTTCCCGGGCCCCTTTTGTGACGGAAAACACTGATTGGCCTTATTGTGCACATATTCTTCGCCATCTCCCATAAGATGTGTTCAGACGCATCGCTCGCCCACTACGCGCCCCAAAATAAACGGCGCGCCCTATTATTTTTTTTCGGTCGAAAAGCGCGCGAATCTGGACTGAAGGCGATCTCTGCAATCAGCGGCCGACTGGGGCTCGCATTAATTACCGCGTGTCTGCCAGCTCGGGCTGCCCGGCTAGCCCGCTGCCCGCCCCGTCTGTCCGGGGCACGGTGTAGCCTGGACGGGCGCCATTTCAAACACGGCCGTGGGTTCGAATACCCCCAGGCGGACTTCATCGTCGAAGCTTACACCGGGCTGCTGGCGCTGCTGGCCAGAGGACAATACCCGCTCACTGTGGATGCTGTTTGCGCGGGGGGAGGGGGTTATGCCCCATTGTGCGTGCTGTCCGGCACCTGTTGGCACATGTGCTGCACCCCGCCGCCGCCTCCCTGCACGTCCTGTTGGGCGTGAGGCCGCGCCCGGCCGCGCCGCGCACCAAAGTATAGGAAAGTCCTGCTGCGGGGCGGGGCGCGGGGCGTCGGCGCGGCGCGCACCATATTCCTCGCAAGTCTTAAATTGAGACCGCCGCGGACGTGCTCTCGGCGTGGACGTGCGCGAGGCTGGCGGCCCTGGCGGCGCGGCGCGGCGAAGCGGACAATCTCCTCCGCCATCCGCGAGTCGAGTCGCCCGCGACCGGCAGGCCGGCAGGCCTTTGGGCGGCTGCAGACCGCTTCCGAACAGTGCTCTCGTCGCTGTCTCTCCCTCTCACACTCAAGGGGCGCTTCCTGAAGGTGCGAGAGAGACAGAGCGACGAGGTGTTCGGAACGAGGGTGCTGGCCGTGATGGCGGCGCACGCAGGAAGGAACGCGACCGGCGCGAAAGTCGTACGAAAGCAAAGCAGTCCCAGTCGGCCGGAACGAGACGAAACACCGAACACCGCCGCGTTTTAGGGTTTAAGGCTGACTCCGCCGCGCGGTGGCAGGTACTCCCTTTCCAAAACGATTCGTCACACGATGCAGTTCACAGATCAGGCAGTTTTTTAAAGCCTGTCCAGTTGCGCGCCACGCGGGGCCGGTCCCGTTTTCCTCTAGTGTATTTCCCGCCGCTCGGCCGGGTGCTTCGGCGATGCGGCGATGCGGCTGCGCGGCCATGCCGATGAGCGTGGATGCGACGACGGACAGCATGTGCCATCACAGCGAGGCAGGCCGGCACCGCGGCCAAGCACCGCGGCCAAAGCGCCGCGCTGGCACGGAACCGGTCAATAATCCCAGAATGGACGCCCCGCCCCGCCCCGCCGGCCGGCCGGCCCCCTCAGCTCCCTAATGTCCTTAAAAACAACTTCGGACAAGGCGTGGCTGGCTGGCTGGCGTGCCGTCCAAACTATCAACTGGGCTGAGCAGGCTGACGCTAGTGGAGCAAACGTCCAGGACGTCCACGACGGCAACAGGCAGGTCGTCCGGGCCGTCCGGACGCAGCCACGAACGGCCGAAACGAGGCGCGGGGCAAAACATAAAAGTTCTCACCTCAAAACAGCGCGCGGCGTGGCAAGTCTGGCAAGAATGTGGAGCGCGCTAGCGCGCCGCCGAGCCAACTTGCCCTGCCGCCCTGCCCTCGTGCGCACTTTTAGTGCTTTTTCCGCCGCGCACTACACTACAACGAGCTCATTAGCAAAACCACGCTGCTGAAACTCGTTTGTGGGTTTTACGCGCCTTCCACGTTTACGCGGCGGGCATTCCTGCAGACTGACTCCGAGAGTCTTTTTCGTCGCCATGTCCCTCTCGCACTCATGGGGCGTCCCGTTTAGGTGCGAGAGAGACAGCGACGGAAACGACTCGGAATCAGGCTGCTGGGCGCTGTCGAGGTGGACCAGGGGACGACGGCGATGACATGCGGCGAACGCGGCGCGGCCGGCGGGTGGCGGTCGACGGCGACGTCCGGAGGGGGCGTGGCGCGCGGATCAGCGCCCCGCACGCGAGCGGGGCGAAGCAAGGCGAAGCAAGGCGAAGCAAGGCGAAGCGCCCCGAAAGGAATTTGATTCGAGAGCAGCCATTCGGGCCGCCGCTCCGCCGCAGGGCGAGGTCACGGGACGCACGCGAAGCACGCCAAGACGGACCAATTTTTGGGGAAAATCAGTTCGAGCGGAACGAGGCCGGGGGTGCCGAGCACACGGGAGCAGGGCGCTGGGAACTCCCCGTCGACTGCACACATTTTGCTTGAATCGAGCAGCCCGGAGCCTTGCCCGGAGCAGCCTCCCTGGCCCGGGCGACCCTCGCCCCGCCTCGCACCGCCTTGCCTGCCGGGGAGCCGCTCGCCCTTTTAAAGGATTAAAGTGGGCGGGGGTGGAGGGAGGGGGGCAGCTCCGCCGCGAATTCAACATCCAATCTGGGCATTCCCCGCCCGCGTCGACGCGCCCAGACGACCCCGCAGACGACCCCGCAGACGACGCCACCCGCCGGCAGGGCTGTGCCGCGGGACTGCCTACCCGCAGGGCGCCCTGCAGCCTTGCAGCCTCCCAGCCGCCGAGTACCAGTGTACTCAGTGTGCAGTGTAAGTGCACGGACTCCTTGCTCGGCCGTCGGAGTCCCGGAGCGGAGCCCCGACGCCGCCTCGCTCGCTGCGAGACGCCCGGCGCCGCGGCGCTGCCGGAGGCGCGCTCTGGCGGCGGACTCGCGAAGCGCCAAGCGCCCCGGCGTGGCCAGCATCAGGGCGCTGGAGCATCGGCGCGCTGGAGCTACTCCACTCCAGCGGGGCCCTTAGGTCCAGCGTCCGGCCCGGCGGTGCAGGAGTGGGGCTGCAGGTGGCAGCACCGTCCGCCGCGCCGCGGCACGCCGCGGGCTCCTGCGTGGGTACTGCACTGACCAGCGCGACGCCGCGCCTCCGCCCCGCCGACGCCGCGGGGCCGCGACGAGCTCTCGTTGACAGACGTGCGTGTCATGTTCATCCCGACGCCACTTTGACTCGGTCCTCCACATTTAGGTTGTAGGTAGCTCAGTGGGTTACAGGGCCACAACGGCAGTTGCTTTGCCTGGGTTCGATTCTTCTCCGTCAGCTCTTCCCTCCCTTCGGATCAGTCCGGCTTACTCACCTTCCCGGCAATGACGGCCTGCACCGTGAGCACCTGCGCCGGCCTGTGGAACTCCATGACCTCGCCGGGCAGCACATGGCCGACCCCGGGGTCGAACCACACCAGGTCCCCCTGCAAGCAGAAACAAAACGCTGCGTGAGCCGGCGGCACGGCACTGTAAGTTCGTCGGCGCGGGGCCTCAGGCTGGCGGCCCAAGGGGGAACCAACTCAAAATTTTCATGAACACTGATTACTGAACTATTAAATTTATAGAGGATATATTGATTAAATGTGATTACATTTGATTGTTTGATTATTTTGAATTCTCTTAAGGCCCCACTCTTTCATTCCCTGCCTCGGGAAGGCTCTGACCGCAACGAATTTTTGACCAGTAGTCTCACAAAGTTGGTCAAAAGGTCAAATCTCCGAAAGTAGCCGTTTTTGATGACTTTGGGTGGCCACTCCGTCCAATCTAGTTGCGGTCACAGGCCTCCCTCAACGCCCTAGTACTCTTAAGACCCTACTCTTTCATTCTCTGCCTCGGGAAGGCCTTGACCGCAACCAATTTTTGGCCAGTAGCCTCACAAAGTTGGTCAAAAGGTGATCGAATCTCCGAAAGAAGTCGTTTTTGCTGACTTTGGGTGACCACTGCGTCCAATCCAGTTGCGGTCAAAGGCCTCCCTCAACGCCCTAGTACTCTTAAGACCCTACTCTTTCATTCCCTGCCTCGGGAAGGCTTTGACCGCAACCAATTTTTGGCCAGTAGCCTCACAAAGTTGGTCAAAAACTGGTTGAATCTCCAAAAGTATGATTGTGATTATGTCGGATTTTGTTTGTTTTTTCACTGATTGCCAAAGAGGCGTACACTGATTATCTCGAGTTGGCAACCCCTTGTGGCGGCCTGGCGGCCTCCTTGGTGGCGTCCGCACTCTTCGAGACAAGCCCTTGGTTTCGGTATCGGTTCGGACCGCCGGCGAAGCGCCGTCCCGCTTTCTTCCGCGCCATTCCACTCCCCGCGTTTAGGAAGCCGTGTTCGCGCTTCGAGGCCAGCGGCCGCCCGCCCAGAGGCTTGCCATGCCAGGCTTGCCATGCCAGGCTTGCCCGGCTTGCTCGGTACACACAAGTCAGTTTGCGGGTGAACTTGTTAAGGCCGGCAGCCACCCGTGTGGGTGTCGGTGGGTGCGCGCGTCTGTGTTAGTGCGATCGTGGGCGTGTGTGTGTGTGCGCCCCTCACGCTTGAGTCGCCGCCATACAAGAGAAGCATCCCAATTAAAATCGAGCCGTGGGGAGGCTGCATAACAGCGACGGACAGCGGCGCGCCGTACGGCCGCGTTGCGTTTCGATGCACTGGCAGAGCCAACGGCAAGCTGGGCCTCGACGCCGTCGATGGCCTGGGGCAGCCTGGGGCAGCCCGGGGGCCTGGGCGCGAGGGCCCGCCGGAGGAGCGCGGAGAAGGAGAAAGCTGTGCCAGACGGCGCGGGCGCCTGCGTTGTGTGTGAGTGTGTGTCTGTGAGCGCGCGCGTGTTTCGTGTGGCGAGGCTGGCGGCCAGGGTGCGGCCAGTGGGCCTCGACAGGGCCACCCCGGACCAAGAGGACCGCTCGGCGACCACGTCACCATCGTCACCATACTCACAGCTTCCAGCAGGGTGCACAGCGCCTCGCCCGACGCCTCCACGGGCGAGTCGCTCTTCGTGGGCGGCGCGGGCCCCGCCTTGGGCTTGGAGGTACGGGGCCGGGGCACGGGGCAGCCCGACGAGGACGGCGACGACGGTGAGGGGGTGGCGGGACAGGGGGTGGGGGCACGCAGGGGCAGCGGGGGCGGCATGAGGCGGCCCAGCGAGGAGGAGCGGCTGAGCGGCGACGGCGCGGGGGTGGCGCCCGGGCCGGCGGCCATGCTGGGCGTGCTGCTGCGGCGTGCGCGGACCGCGGCGGCCTGGACGCCGTGCCTCCCGGGCGGCACCAAAGGCACCACCAAAGGCACCACCGAAGGCACTGGGGTGCCGCTCTCGCTGGCCGCCCCCCGCGGGGCCTTGGCCCTGGTGCGTGGCTTGAGGAAGTCAGCGGCGCTGATGACGCCGGGGTGCAGCACGGCCGTGGCAGAGCGCGGCGACGTCGTGGACACGCGCATCGGCGCGCCGCACGGCAGCACCTGGCGCTGCAGCTCCACCACGTCCCCCGGGCCCGCGATGGACGCCCTCCGCGTGCGCTGCGTGCGCAGCACGACGGCCACGTCGCGCGTGGGCGGCGACGCGGGCAGCTCGTCCACGGCGGCGACCACGGCGGAGGGCGACTTGCGGCCCCCGACCGGCAGGGTGGCCATGCGGCCGATAGTGTCGTTGCCGTCCCGCAGCGAGGCCGACGACGTGATGGACGCGTACTTGGTGCCGCGGCCCGTGAACTTGGTCGGCGTCAGGTAGCGGACGTGGCCCTGCGCCGTCAACGTGGCGCCCTCCGGGTAGCCTTCGAGGCGCGCGTCGCGCATGTCCTTGCAGTAGTTCATGTTGACGTCCACGTCGATGGCGCGCTCGTTGGCGGCCGGTGCGGCGGGCTTCACCCTCCGCACCGGCACCGGTGGCGGCACGGCGCGGGGTGTGTCCACGGCCGCACCCTCATCCACTTCGTCGTCGTCGCTTTGCCGCAGTGTCACACTGACCGACACCTGGTCGTCCGCGCCGCTGGTCGTGGCCAAGGTGGCCCTGGCCATCATCTTGCTGCGGCGCCCCTCCGATAACTTGGTGTAGCGCCCCCTCGACGTGGTCTGCGTGCCGTCGGGCTGCTGCTGCTGCTGCTGCTGGCGCTCCAGGGCGGCCGTCTTCATCTCGGCGTAGCGCTTGCGCACGGGGCCGCCTCTGGGCCGGTCCGCGGTCGTCGACGAGGACGTGGCCGCCGTGGTCGCCGCCTTCCTCGTCAGCGTCGCCGCGCCGTCGGCTTGCTTGGGCGAACGGCCGCGGCCGCGGCGCCACCCGCCAGTGCAGCCGCCGAGGTCGCCGCAGAACACCCTGGCCACGGACGTGTTGGTGGCGGTGGAGCGCAGCGACGGCGTGGGCGAGGACGTGACCTGGTAGCTGCCCCGGTTGCCCGAGGACTTCCACGAGGGCCCGCTGGCACCGTCCTCGCGCAGCGTGTAGGTGGCGCTGAGGGAGCCCAGGTCGCTCCACCGCCGGCGGAACTTGAAGCCCAGCAGGCGGCTGCCCATCTCCAGCAGCCCTGGCCGCGGCGCCTCCGCCTTCTCGCCGGGCAGGAACAGCTCCGGCGAGGCGGGCGAGGCCACGGCGCCGACGCCCACGCCAGCCCCGGGCACCACCCCGGCCCCGGCCACGGCCTGCGGGGGGCTCCATTGGCCGTGCATGTCGACCGGCCTCGTCACCAGGCTTTGTGTCTGTCCATCGTCGGGGCGCTACGGCCACAGCGCGGGCCGCCCTGGCCGTCCTGGTGGAGCGCCACCGTCGCCGACGACGCCTCCGCGGCACGGCATCCTCCCGGTCGGCGCCGCGCTCCTAGAACCATCGACTGTCACCCAGTGTTCCCTGCTTTCGCTCGGGACCGACCGCCTCCCTTTCCTTGCAGCTCTACGTTTTGTCCAACTTTGCGATGCCTGCTCCCGAAAGGATACAGCTGAAGACGCTGCTGACCCAAGCCAAGCCTCGCGGCGCCTCGCGGCCAGACGCGAAAGTACACAACGCGTCAGCGGGCGGAGGGTGCAGTGCAAACGCCGCGCCCAGCCACGCCGCGCACCACGCGCAGCGGCACGGAACCGAGTGGGTCGCGATACTTTTCCTCGCGAGGCGCGCGAAAACGCCGGAGCGAGAGAAAGAGAAAGATAGTGATAGAGTTAGAAAGAGAGTGAAAGAACGCGAACAGCTAGCTACCGAATTTTCCTCCATCCGCGCAGCGTCGCCGCAGTTCCTCAAACTTTTTGTCGCGCGCTTTTTTGTCTGATTAATCTGGGCGTCAGTCGAGCGAGTCCGAAGGATCGTTTCGTCGCTTCTCCGTCGCACTCGGGGCGTCGCCTTGGGGAGTGACAGAGACAGAGCGACGAGAAGGTCTTTCGGAATGGCTCGCGGCATGCTCTGCTCTCCTCGGGGAGGCCCGAACTGAACGCGGTAACCGCCAACGCGGCGAAGCTTTCTCGCCGCTTGCTGAGCGCTGCGCGACGCGATGCAGGCCGAAATGCAGGCCGAAATGCAGGTGGCATGCAGGCGGGCGGGGCCGGGATGGGATGCACTTCCGGCGTTCTAGCCGTGACACACAGCCACACAGCGCGGCATGCACGCCAAGGTCCCCCGGCCCACCACACCATTGTCACACCGCTGCAGGCTGGGCGGCACAGTGGCGGGCTGACGGCCCACAGTGGGCCAAAAGACCGGTGGAGGCGGCCAATACTCTAGACGCGTTTTGAGCTTCAGAGTCGCTAAACAGGACTCAAATCGAACGCGTGACCCCACCATTGGATTCCTCGTCACAAGAGCAGTCCAAGGGTCACACGTTCGGTTTGAGTCCCATTTAGCAACTCTGGAGCTCAAAACGCGTCTTACGTTTTGGACGCCTGCACCGGTTTTCGGGCAAAGCCCGCCGGAGAGCGCCGCGACGACCAGAGCCAGTACACTGGCAGTGCGCCGCGCGTAGCGCACTGTGACCAACGGGAAGGGAAAAAAATGAAAATCGAGTGCCAAGGTTACACGAGCGACACGAAGGGCGATCCCATTGCACTCCATGGCGAAACCGTTGGCGTCACGTCACCCGGATTAGGTTTTTCACACTGAGAGAATCCCGTCACGGCGGCAGCCTGTGGGTTCCACTTACGCCTTGCCACGCCTCCACCAGCAGGGGTCCCAGGACTCGCCCCGGGGCGCCATCGCGCGTCATCGGCCAGCTAATTGCCTATGGCATCCGTCACGGCGGCACGGCGCGGCTCGTCACGGCTCGGTCACGCCCGGTCAGGTCGCGTTGGTCACACCTGGTCAAAGCGGTGGCACGACTGGGACTGGGGCGCTACGCCGCTTGCGAGGACCGAGTGGCACCCAGCGCTGGGCGGCGCGGCCCGCTGGCCTGCTGGCCCGCCGTCCGCGTGGCGTGCGAAAAAACGGCGGCCGACAGACGCAGCAGCGCTGCATCCTCGTCACTCGCCGCCGATCGGTACGCGTGGGAGAAGGACGAACGCGCGACGCGGCCTTGCGGGGGCAGGGTGGCGGGCAGGGGGGCGGCGCGGCCGGACAGCTGACGTCTCGCACCACCGCGCCGCCGTGGTGGGGGTCATGTTGTCATCAGCGGTGCGTCGCGGCGCGTCGCGCAGTGGACGCGGGGTCTGCTTTGTGGGGCACGCCCTGCGCGTGGACGTGGAAAGCGTCGCGTCCCTGCAGCAGCCTGCTGCAGAAAGCGCCTGGCGGGTAGGCAGTCCCGAACGCAGTGACGTCGCCGGGCCGGCATCGCAGCCGCGCGCAGGCGGCTCGGCACTACGTCAAAGTGGCCCCACTGGACCAAATCGCTGCACGTTGACGGCCACCTCATGGAGGCCAAGCAGGTCGTCGCCATGCCGCGCCCCCGCGGGGTGCCTCACGCCAGCCCCGGCTTGCTCGGCCCCGGCAGGACGTGGAGGACGTGGAGGACGGTGCTGCCGGTGCTCGGCGTACCGCACGGAGCGCGGCGCTGGCGCTCTGGCGTGCTCGCAGTGCTGCGGCGTGCCTGCGGCGTGCCTGTGGCGTGCGGCCCGCATCCAGGCGGAAATGCGGCACGCGTGCCGAGCAGAGCAGCGCGGAGAGCGCCGAGAGCGCGGAGCAGCCAGCGCCAACTACACTTTTCCGATTTCCACTTTTATGCCTTCTTTTTATTTCATTCCTTTTCTCTGAAACTCGACGAAAAAAGCGGGTTCGACGGCGGTGTTGAAGCTACTACCACTAGAGCAGCAACCGTAACTAAATCTATCCACATGAATTTCCGCTCTGGACGTTTTTCTCTACGACTTTTGCTGAGATTTTCTGTTGAATCGTTTCTAATTCAGCCATAATCACGACCATTCCAAAAGACCTAAAGATCTAAACCAAGCAGCTGCAAGGCCGTGGAGCGAGCCGGCCCGAGCGAGCAAAAGGGAACAATGGGTTTGTCGATCTCCACGCACTTATCCAAAGGATTCTTCTGGTCTTCAAAGTCCACACAAACAAACACACACACTCGCGTGGACGGATGAAACGTCCGCACACAAATTTCACTCCACTACTGCTTCACGATGCTTGAAACACCACACAGACACACATCCTCGCACGTCACAAATTAATCCACGTTTCTTTTTCACTCGTCACATCTTGCCAACGTGAGCGTCCGTGCTCGTCACACGTCACACAGCGCGCACGTCACAGCGTCACAGCGCCGCGCGCGTCGCGGAGCGTCCGGCCGCGGTCCTGCAGCGGGCTGCGGCTCCAGTGATAGCCGGCCAGCAACTGGCTACGCTATCAGCTGCTCCATACACGGTCAATTTTTTACTCTTGTGCTTCTCGCTCTGCGGTGGGGTCCGCCACGCCGCGCCACGCCGGACCCACCCACCTGTGCAATACCGCACGCCCCGCCCCACGCCCCTGCCCCTCCGTCGGTACAGTCGGCTGCGTCCGGCGCCCCGCTCACCGCGGCGGGGCGTGGCGGGGCGGGGCGTGGCGGGGCCTGGAGGGGCCGTGCGTACTGCTCCTGGCCCACCAGTACGCTAGCCGTCACAGGGTCCGTTTCGGCGCGCAGGGTTGGCGACCCTGTCGCGATGCTGCCGCGACGCTGCCGGGGCACTCGCGTCTCATGTCCCCGCCCCCATCCCGGCACGGCGCCGCGCGACACCCGCCGCGAAAACTTGATTACCAGACGCATGCACGTGCGCAAGGCCCGCTAGGCCGACCGCAGCCCCCTCGCACCGCACCGCGCCGCACCGCACTGCGCCGCACGCGGCCAGGATCGGCATCTCGTTGGCGCGGCCCGAGTTTCTCTGTGCATGTTACGCGCGCAGGTGTCGGGGAAAACGCACGGCGCACGTAGCACCGAAAAGAGTGGCAAATCGGAATTCGGACGATTCCCCGCGCCGCTCCCCCTTTCCCAAAGGAGTCGCCACCCCCAGCCCCCCGCCCGGCCCCTCACACACACACAGGCACGGAGGCACGCACACACACGCCTGCGCGCGCACGCGAGTGATCCAGTTTGGCGGGCAACGAGCGTACCGCGCACCGCGCACCGCCGAGAGGCCATGGAGAGGCTCGACACGCACTGCAGGCCACGCTTCCGAGCGCCGCGCCGCCGCGCCGCCACGCCACCGTTAAACAAGTGGCCTGGCCGGGCTGGCCGGGCTGCCCCGGGGGTGCATCATGGCGCCGGGCATCCAGCCCCGCTCTCCTCCTCCTGCTCCTCCTGCTGCAGCGGGGTGTGAAGTAGGCGGAAAGTGAAAACAATTGACATATCACTTTGGCCGGCGCCGCCTATCCGTCTCGACGCGGTGGTCACGCTCGGCGGCCGCGGTCCGGGGGCCGTCACCAAGCCGACGACCGCCACTGCCGCCGCCTGATTCGCCATCTCCTGGAAGTATCTCGCCTTTCTCACGACGCGATGGTGGTCATGACGGCCAGCGCGGTGGCGGGCCACTGGTGGCGCTGGTGGTGAAATTACTCATGCAGTTCGCATCACTCGGCCCGCACTACGCCGGACTATCCCGGGCCGGGCTGCCCGGAACCGGACTGGGCGGGGCAAGACATCCGCCCCTGGCGCGGCATGCCTCTCACTTTTCCTCGTTTTTTCCTCTTGCGTGCAATGCGGTGCAGCGCGTCTCCAGTGTCTTGTGTTGGCCGAGGGCGAAGGCGGACGTGATCCGGGCGGAAGGGTCGGTTGCCGGTTGCACCACGCGCGTCCAACGGGAACGCATTTCCAAACGGCCTTATCGAGGGCCTTATGCAAAGCCGCAAACCGAGCGGAAAGGCTAAAGACCACTCACCTTGTCGAACTCCAGCGCCATGGCTGGCGGGGCCTCCGCGTTGCTCGTCATGATGGGGTCGCCTGTCGTCATGGGGTGCTACTGGACCTCATGGTTCCCCTGCTGCCTCGCCTGCAACGCCTGCAACCAACAAACATGCGCCGGGTCAGTACGGTCGGGTCATCAAGCGACGCCGCGCCGCAGGGCACGCCGCGCACCGCCCACGCCGCGGGGACGGCCAGGCCGCGCGCCACGCGCCGCCGCCATCCTGGTTCGCGGATACCCCGCGGCAACGGGTACCTCGCGAGGAGTATCGCCGCGGCCGCGGCCTGGAGGGGGCGCTCTAGAGGGGCTCTAGAGGGGGCCAGCTGTCAGTGAAGGAGCTTGCCGTCGGCCCGTCGGCCGGCGTGCCTTCCACGCGACGGAATGCGGTACCATTGGCGGAGCGGCGCGGCGCTGCTGGAGTGGGGGCAGGGCAGGGCGACGCCCGGCCCGGGTCCTTTCACTGAGAGGCCCGCTTGAATCGGACTGGCGGTTCGGGCCGGAGAGGCGGAGTGGCGGAGTGGCGTGGCCCATGCCAACGCCGCAGCACACCGAGCTAGACAGCCGCGCGTCATCCTAACCCTTCCTTTACTTTCGCACTAAGACGAAGACGAGGATGAAGACGAACCTCCGAGCACGACAACCACGAACCCCTCGACGACAAGCGTCGACGGCGTGTCTCAGTCAGGGCGTCGGCGACGACGCCGTCATGGGCAAGAGACGAGCGTCCTCTGCTAACGGGCAGCCCCCCATAGACACGTTCGACACCTCTCCTCTCCAGGCGACTCGCGGCGGCCTCCGGTCCCAGGGGTCCCCCGCGGGGTGAGGTCCCCAGCGGCCTGCCTGCCTGCCCAACCGGTGTCGTGTCGGGCCCATTTGTTTTGGAGGGGCAACGGGACGGCCGGGACAGGACGGTCAGGTGCAGCCGGGACAACGACCCGCCGCGCCCCGCCCGCCGCGCCCCGCCCGCCGCGCCTGACCCAGGAAGTAATACTACACAAGACTTTCTATTACATCGAGGGCGCGGGGGCGGGGCGGGGCGCGGCGGCAAGGGCGGCCATTGGGAATGGCTCCGGCCGACACGACGGTCAGCACGGCCTTCCCTCCCCACGGCACGGCAGGCACGGCAGGGTGACGACGGCAGCACTTCGCAGGACAGCGCGCCGATCACCAATCGTCCTGGACCCCTCATGAGGTATCCAGGATCCGACGGCCTCCAGAAAGCCGGGCCGCACCGACCGTGCTGGACCGTGCCCTCGGGCCGTTTGACTTTCTAAATATCGGCGGACCTGCGAGTCATCGGCTGGTTGGGTGAGTGGCCGCCCCGCAGTCGCGCCCGCCAGTTCGGCGGCGGCGGTGACGCGGCGCCAAGCCCGCCAAAATAGGTACCACGAGATGCAAACAGGTCGAAAAATTCAACATTCCCTGCCTTTTGGTATCCTATCTAGCTGCGTGGTCAAGGTCTCCCCTCAACGTCCTGGTGCTCTTAGAACTCAAGAGTTGCAACTTTTTCACGCCCCACCTCGGGAACGCCTTAACCGCACTTCGTTTGGGAGCGCCGCCCTCACGAAGTTGTCAAAATGTCGAAAAACTTAAGGCCTACATGCAGGGCACGCCAGCACGCGAGCGCGGCGCGGGGTATCGCCTGCGGTCCGCGCGCGGTCTGCGGAACGGCCACGGCGCTACTCCGCGCCGCAAAGGGCCGCTGTCCGCGCGCGGGGTATCGACGGCCCTGCGCCTCGCCACGCCGCGCCACCACACATGCGCCCCATGGACCGTGAGATAATCGCAGCGCTAAATACGAGAAAGGCCGAAGGCGGGCGATGACGAAAACGGCGTGCATTTCGCCAGCCACGTGTGCAAGTGCACGTGCGAGTGCGGTGCACGCCCCGAGTCTGCAGGACTGCAGCATGAGTGGCAGGCAGAGGCGCGGCATAGCAGGGCAGACGAACGTACGCCACAGTACTTTGCCCTATAAGGCACATCGAAACTTTTAAGGACGCCACAACATCTTTCTTCTTTTTTGCGAGACATGCAGCCGCTGCAAGAAACGCCGCCGAGCACACACACACACAGAGGCCTGAGCACTCGCGCACACGCACACACAGTCGCGCGGCGTATAATGCTACACAATGACCTTCGACAGGGGTTGGCCGAGCCGTTTGGTCGCTCGACTGTCAACTCTCTCTCTTTCTCTCTCTCGCTCTCCAGCGAGGCGAGGCACTACACTGCATTCCCTGAACACTACAAGCACTACGAGACAATCCCTGTTTATGGCGCCTATCATATGTGGCACAAACACGCACACACCTACACACACAGACAGACGGCTGTTGGGCCCCGACCTGCCCGACTCGAGAAAGAAGAGAGAAGAAAGTGACCAGCCCTGGGAGGCGCGTCCCTGAGCGTCGCTGGACTCGAGGGGCGTGAGACACAGACGGTCAGACGGACGGGCAGACAGACAGATGGACAGACGGGCAGCAACTACCAGTAAAGCACGCCAGCTTCGCCGGCCTCTCAAGTCGCACTGGTCGAATTCAACGTGACGTGGCTGTGCGCCGAGACGGCCGAGACGGACTCCACGTGGTGCCGGGAGAGAGCGCGAACGCACCGCGGGGCCTCGGGGTGCCGGACGGTGCCGGACGGTGCCGGAGGAGGCGCCAAAGGTTACCGCATGCACGGCGTGCAGAGTGCAGCCTCCCCGAAACCTTGACTCCATCCGCACTCCGCGCTCCGCGCTCCGCGCCCGGCCGCGGCGCCCCGACGGCCCAAACAGCGGGACAAGGCTGGAGCCTGGAGCCCCAGCCCGGCGCTGGAGGCGGGCCGCGGGGGGCCGGGCACTCGGCCGGGCATTCCAGGGACTCCGGCGAGCATCCACTCCATTCCGCGCTGACCGCTACTCCGCTTGGCTTAGCTAACATAAGCTCTGGAATGCTCCTGGAAGTGCAAGGTGTGGCGGGGCGGGGCGGGGCGTGGCCTCGAGGGGCGTGGTGGTGATGCCATGCGAGGACAACTACTCACCGGAGTTACACACGCGCGCGCCGTCTGGCCAGTTTACGAGTACTGCGGCCGGGACGCCTGGCTGGCCTGGCTGCGCGTTCGAAGTGCGCGTTGCATACCCGCATCGCCGCGGTCGCGTCGTGCAAGAGGGTCGCCGATCGCCGGGGCAAAAAAGCGGCCGCGATGGCGATGACCATGACCGCCAGGACGCCGCATGCCGCCACGCCGCGCCGCGCCACGCACGCCGCGGGCCTCGGGGCCTCCTTCCTGCTTTCGGCGGCGCTCGAGGCGGCGCTGCACCGCCCTGGGGTCGTTGATCGCCACGCCGAAGATCGCCTCGGCCGCCACTCCGTCCACAAAGGCAAGGGCCGAGGGACGACGGCGCGGTATGGCGAGGTATGGCGCGGGGCAAAAACGGCAACGAGCAGGCCGAATTGATAAGCCGTCATCATGCCGCTCCAACGCACACCCGCGCTGTTGCCTGCCGTTGCCTTGTTGCCTTGTTGCCGCCGGCGTCATCCTGCATCGCCTGCACCGGCCTGGAGAGGACCGCGAACCTCATCGGCGACGACGCGGCCCAGCCGGGCGCCTTGGGAGACTTGCACGCGCGGCAACACCCTAGACGTCTTCCCCGGGCCGCTGGGCCGCTGGCCGCTGGGAGTGACGCCACGGCCGATATTACCTAACCAAGCTAGTGCCCTCGGTTGCCTCGAATTAACGAGAGTGGGAAAACGATTCAAATGAGGCTGGCGGGGCTGGCTGGGCTAGAAGGCGCACCGCCACGCCGTCTTGCCGCCGCCACGCTACCGGCTACGCGCGGCTCCCATGACAGCGCGCACGCAGCGGCACGCACGCACACACACGCGCACGCCGCCAAACACAAGTAGAGCAGGACGCTCCCAGCGCAGGGCCGCAGGGACGCCGTCAAGGGTGCGGCGGTGCGGCCTGTCCAGGACATTCTGGGCAGCACGGCGGCGGCCAAGCCACGTCTCGGGCCGACGGGGTGGCCGATGGGGCTAGCCGGCCGCCGACGACGCCCCGCCCCACGTGCGTGACCTTCCCCGCACTTGCACTCTCCTCACAGCCGGCCGTGTCGCAAGAAAAGGGATCAGAGAGGCAGGGAGAGAGAGAGAGAGGGACGGATAGAGAAGGAAGGAGAGGAGGAAGGAGGAGGAGAAGGAAAGGAAACCGAGCCAGGCCCAGGACGGCGGCGGCACGGCGGCCCCGAGGTGGCGCCTTGCCTTCGCCTTCCCAAGATAACAATGTTCCGTAAAGGGATAATCTCCGAACGGGGCGCCCCGCCCGGCAGCCTTCAGGCCTTCAGGCTGCAGGCCTTCGGGGCCTTCGGGGCCGCCAACACGGCCTGCAGCCCGCAGCCCGCCGCCTCGGAGTGCCGACACAGCCGCCACTGCAGACACGGTCATTGTTCAACGAGATAACAATTATACGGCCGCCATCGTCGTTACTACCGTAATGGCGGCCCGAGTCTCGTTAGAATGGAAAACCCGCGGGGGGTTACCTAGAGCCGGCGCCGGCACCGGTAGGCACGCGGTGGACTCGCGGGAAACCTCCAACTTGGAAATTTCGCAGAGTTTCGGTGGCCGAAGCACTCCCACTGGTCGCTTCGTGACAGTTTCCTCGGCCGGCGATGCTGGCGATGCTCGCGAGGCGATACACATCCGGGCCGCCGCGTCGAAATCGGCCGGCTCTCGGCCTCCGAGTCTCGGCTTCGAATCCCGGTCGCGGCGGCCCGATAACGTCGCACCAGACACGCCGGACACGCCAGGCACGCCCCGCCGTGTCCTTTTGGATTATCTCTCATCAGCTGGTGGAGTGTCCCGACAGTCCCGGCCGTCCCGCCTCTCCCGGCAAGGTGAACTACTTGTGGCCTGCATCCTGTATACCCCTTTCTTTCCCGGACGTGTGCAGTCACTCACACAAAGGTACACGTCGCGGGCCGTGCGTGCCTTTGCACGGGGAGGTGACATCGACCTGGCATGACCCGAGCCGAGCCGAGCCGAGCGCGCATACGGGACCAGCCGCGCCACAGGGCACGCCTCAGTGGCTGCCGGGCCGCGGCCGTGGCCACGCCGCCGCGCCAGGACGCCAGGCTCGCGGTGCCCCACCCGGGGCCTCGGTACGCGTCGGCACGCGCTGTGCCGTGCTCGCGTCCACCGCGCACGCACACACACCAGGCGCACGAACGCGCACAGACACACACACACACACGTGCCTGCTTTGTGCGGAGTGACATCGGCGGTCACGTATCGGGAAGCTCGCCGCTCGCCCCGGGGACGAAGGCAAAGGCAAGGCAAAGGCAAAGGCTTTCAGTGCGGAAAGCACACGGCAAAAGCACAAAAGTAAAAAAAAAAAGTTCAACTGAGTGCTAATCTCGCCAAGTACCACGCGTCTAATTGATCCTAACAGCGAGGTGCTAAAATTTCGGCTACACTGCCACTGTTTCCGCGAGAGGGGCTTTAAAAAATTAACAGCCAAAACGAGGCGTGAGAGAGAAAGAGGGAGGGAGAGAGGGGAGCGGTGTTTATCCACTCTGCTGCCCCGCCCACAATGCAGGCGCCTACATCACGCGTGCAAACACACTCGAGTTGCGTCAGTGACAGTCGTACTTTCCACCTATTTCCAAGCGTCCAACACGCACACACACACACACACACAAAACCACACACACGCTCGCTCGAGACGTGTTCATTTTTTTTTTTGCAGCAGACCGCGCGTCCCGTGTCGCACTGACACACGACGTCGCGCTGCCGCCCGTAAAGTGCCTCGCGACGGCGGCGTGCCTCGCAGTGCCGTGCCCCACCGCGGGAAAGTCACCACGGTCGCCTTAACGACCCCCGTCAAAACCAATAAAAATACCCGGCGGACGCTCCGGCCCGCTCTAGCCCGCTCCGGCCGCGACGAGGTGACCGCGAGTGCAGTGCCGCGGAGCGACAGCCCACGACACACACTCACGCCTCACAAAGGGGCCGACTTTCGCGGCGGCGAGCCCCGCCCGCTACCGCCAACAACGTACCGAACGTACCGTTCGCGGTGAATACGGTATGCTTCGACATTTCTTTCGGCGCGAGTCTTGGCGCTTGCGGCGGCGGGGCGCGGCGGGGCGCGGCGGGGCGCGGCGGGGCGCGGCGGGGCGCAGTGGGGCAGCCCGTCGTTCAGGCCGTTCTCGGAAGCCGACGATGCCAGCGCGCGGCTCAGCCCGTGGCACCGTTACTGCAAAGTCTCAAATTTACCTCGGCAAACACAAAAAGCGGCTCGCGTCCACTTGACTGGCTCGCCTGGCGGGGAGCGAACCAGTCCCTTACGGCGCCCGCCAAGCGCCGGGTAGGCAGCCCCGCCCACCAGCCCGGTGCGGCGCGCGGCCTATCGCGCAGTCCGCAGGGGCTCGTCCTGCTCGCCCTGCTCGTCTCGTCAGCGCGCCGAACACACAGCCCCAGTTTTTCCGCCGTCTCCCTCCGGGACGACTCGTAAACCACGAGCGGCGAGCGACCGCCTTTTTGCGCCGCGTAGCCGCGTACAGTGTACTTACGGCGAGACGGGCCGCAAGAAAAACGGCGGTAAAGCCGACCGGAAACGGACCTGGAACAAAAGGGATAGGGAAACGTGAAATGACAGCGCCACACAACAACAACAACAACAACAACAACAACAACAACAACAACAACAACAGCCCCGTCCTTGACGTCCTCGGAGCGACACGCCGACACTCCTCGATGACTCGCGAGTCGCTCGACATTTGCCTGCCCTACCCTTTCGGCCTTTCACCGCCCCTGACCGCGCAGGAACGCCCAGGCTCACGCGCAGGGCGGGGCGGGGCGGGGCGGGGCGGGGCGTGGCGGTAAGGGCCCGGCTGGCACCCCGCCCCGCCCCGCCCCGCGCTGCAGTCTGCAGCCAGCAGGTTCCGCTGACAAAGTGACTGATCGCGCGGCCGATTGACTGACGGGCCGGCACCGATAATGCCTCCGGCTTGACGAGCTGACGGCGAACACCGCCGCGAGCGCCACGCCGCAATGCCGCTCCCCACCGCCCGGCGAAACCACTGCACTGCTTTCAAAAAGATAATGTTACCCTTTTGGCCGTGAGGCGATTTGCGGCAGTACTGTTGCTGCCGCTCACACTAGACTTAACTAGACTTTGACTTAGACTCGGGCCGATGCCGCGCTGGTACACTAGCGCACCGAGTGACTACGAGTGCCCGGCCGACCGGCCGACAGGCTGGTTAGGTTAGGTGTGAATTCCGCTGCGCATTCCTGCTCGTCTCGCCCGCCGGCCGCCGCCACGGCCCGGCCGCTCACCTGTGCGCGGCGACACCGGCAAGGCGGGGCGGGGCGGGGCGGGGCGCGCTCCTCCACTCCATTGACCTACTTGCTGTTGGCGCCCTTCGCGACGGTCGGGGCGACGGTCGGGGCGGCGGTCGGGGCGACGGCCAGCCCTCGTCGCCTTTCGCCTCCAGTGGGTCACCGACGACAAACCGCGACAAACGCCCCGCCCGCACCGCCCTGGCCGGCCGCCGCGGATTCGGGGCAATACCGGGCAAGACACGCCGAGGAGTTCAAGAAGGCCGAGAGACTCACCAGCCCTCCGAGACGGCACATCGCCAGCACCATCCCGCGTGGCGGCTGCCCTCGGCCGCCCTGACGCGCCCTGACCTCGGAGTCCACCGGTCGTGACCCAGGGCGCCAGGGCGGCCAGGGCGGCAGGGCGGATGATGATAGGTCACCGCCGTGCTGACGCGCTGACGGGCCGCGGCCCCGCGCCGAGCAGCGCCGAGCGTGTCGCAATGGCCATTGAATCAATAATCACACCCTTCCCCTCCCCCCTCCCTTTCCCCGCCATGCATGCGCGCTATTTTCGCGCCGTTGCAGCACGCCGAGGCCGGCCGAGGCCCCGCGCCGTGGCGGACCCGGTCCAGGTCGTGGGTTACGTCAAGCAGGCGGTTCGCTGCAGTTCACTGCAGTTCATTGGCCAGCGCGCTGCGGCGGGTGGGGTGGGGGCACCAGTGCAGCGTCGAGCCTCGCTGGACGGGCGCTGGACAAAGGACAACGCGCGACCAAAACACACAAGGCAGCCGGAAAATGCCCCCCTTTCCACAACAGCCCGGGGCTGCTGGACCAGCCCGGCAGCCCCGTACGGCACGGCGAGGGGAAAGGGGTAGAGCGGAGGGAAGAGGGCCGGCGCATTGAAATAAAGTAATAACCGCCAATTACAGAGAGAAACAAAAAAGAAAAAAACGCGACGAGAATTTCTCGGCCGCGGGCCTGAGCCGGAGCCGGAGGCTGGCCAGAGGGGCCAGAGCCGTCGGGCGGCAGCGCGGCAGCGCGGCAGGCAGCCCGGTCCATTAGCAACAAGATGGTATCTGCATGGGGACGTGACAGCACATGCTGCCTTGTTGCCTTGTTGCCTCGCTGGCGTGGAGCGTGGAGGAGGCCGAGGCTTGGCCGGCCACGCCGCGCGGCTCCCGGGGCCGGCGGAGCCCCCATGGGCTGCCCCATCCGGACACACGGACCGCGTCCACGCCGTCCGCGCCGTCCGGGGAGCAGCTGGGACGGCCAGCCCACGGACGCGGCGTGCCGTAAAGGCGCGAGAGAGACAGAGCGACGTTTGCCGGGCGCCCCGCACCGCGAGCAGGGCCTCGGCGAAGGCGCGCGGCGCCGCGCATTCATTCCAATAAGCGGCTCGTTTCCGATTTCCAGACGGTCCATGAAATCTAACGACCAGGCCCTGCATCCACACCTCTCGCGATAAAGCATCACACACTCACACACACACGGAAACGGCGCCGCCTGCAGCGCACAGGAAAGTAAAAGCAGCGCCGCCGCGGGGGTCCTCGATGACGAGGATCCTGCGTTCGGCGGGCTCGGCGGGACTCATAGACTCCGGCGGGGCGCGGGGCGCGGGGCGTGTGCGCGGCGGGGCGGCTTGCACCGCGATTCGGGAAAGCTAAAGCTCATCCTCAGCTTCGTGACTCTGCCTCTCAGGCTCGCAGAGACTCGCAGAGGTGGGCGTGGGCGGCGGCGCGCCCCGCCCGGCCCCGCCCAGACAGTCGTCGTGCCGTCAAACAGCGACCCGTTAGTTCGCGTTTTCTCGACGCCAGTCTCTATTTCAACTCCATCTCTTTTCCACTCGTGCATTTCCTCATCCGCGGCGTCGTTTTCCCGGCCCTTCTGCGGCGCGGGGGCGCCGGCGGTAATCCACTGCAGCCCTGTTCCTGTTCCTGGCCAAGTACGTCGTCACTGTCACTCCGCCGCGTCGCGGCCAGGCGGCGTTCCGTTACCCGGCTTCGCGGCCAATCCGCCACGGCGCCGCCTGCGCCGCCTCGGTGGTGACACTCCGCCCGTCGCGATCCAATGCCTCCGCGACGACGACCACGACGACCACGACGACGACGGCCAGGTAGCCGCCGGCGGACTGTACCTCACGCCGCCGACGGACTATACACCACGCCGCGGGCTCACATGCGGACGTTGACCGTCAAGTTGTTTCTCTTTTATTTGCCCCGCTGAGAGCGAGTCCCGCCCCGCCCCGCCAGGTATTGGTTTCTCTGTTTCTCTGCGCGTGCGCGGGGCGGGGCGGGGCGGGGCGGGCGGGGCGGGGCGGGGGCGGGCGGCGGGGCGGGCGGGGCGGGCGCGGCCTGTGGAGTCGCTGTCCTGCGGACCACGCGCGCCCATGACCGCGCCGCGGCAGGTGGATTAGGCCCCGACTCCAAAAATAACCTCACTGACCCTCGACATCGCTGACTGCTGGAATAAAATCTATCAGTGAAACCAGAATGTTTACGATACAACTTTTGACCACCTGAATTTCCAAGAACCATTCTCTACCCCCTTTTTTTCCCTTGCCTTACAGCGCCTCATCGGGCGCAGCAAGCTCGTTAGGCGCGCGGCAGACAACCATGAGTATGGCGGGGCGGGACGGGGCGGGCGGGGCGAGTGGAATCTATCGCCATGACCGACACCTTCCTTCGGGATCAATCAGCGGGGTGATTGCGCGGCGCCCTGTAAGGCACAGCCAGGCGGGGCGGGGCGGGGCGGGGCGGGGCGGGCTGGGGTTCGATCAGCCGGCGGTGGTGCGCAGCGGCGTCGAGACGACCGACGCCACCACCAGGGGCGCAGGAAGACCAGAGTGTTCAGCACCCTACCCACTGAAGGCCCTCCGGTCGAGGAGGAGCGACATGGCGACGCCCAGGACGAGAAGCCGCAGCCCTGCGCGCACTCCAAACTGCAACTCGCACCGGCTCGGCCGGGAATGGCTGGTGCGAAAATAGACGCGACGGGCCGAGGCAGCCGAAGCAGCCGAAGCCACCGGATTCACTTTCACGGGAGGCAGGGAAGGGCACGGCACGGCACGGCACGGCACGGCACGGCACGGCACGACTGGCACTCCAAGCCCTCGGGGGCACGACACGTGAACAACAGTCCTTCGGATTTCTCCGAGCCATCTCGCACGGCAAACCACATCCCGACAAAAAAAAATGAGTCATCCGCTGATTAAAAGGACTGCCCGGCTTTTTCTTCTTCGCTGCGCTAGGGTTGCTATTTGAAAAAAAAATTAATACTCTTTGTAACCCTTTTCGGCACCCAGTTTTTTTTACACACCCAGAAGATCGCATTCATTTGTATTTCCTTTAATTTCATTCACATTGAGTGAAATCGTAGAGAGGGGAAAAAAAGTTCTGCAAATAGTGGTGGCTTGGTGGAAAGCGGCGCGTTCCCTGTGATCGACACCTGGCGACTCTGTGCACCTGTGTGTGTGCCGCGCCGCCGCGCCGAGGCGGGTGGCATGCATCACTTTCTCGCTCAGACTGGATCGCCACACCGCGGCATCGCAGCCGATGCAGTCGTCGGACCGCCATGCCAGACCGGTGCGGCACGGCCAGCACCAGGCCACTGCCCTCCGCCACCGCCAACGTCACCGCGGCAGCGCGGCCCCGCCGCCACACCGTGATGGATGTTCCTCCAGACGTGATGTGCACTGCACGCATTTTCGCCCCGCCTCACCGCCTCGCGCGGTAGGTACATACAGCCCTACATGTCGACCACACGGAGCGGCCGGCAGCAGGCAGGCGGCCACCGTCGCCACCGCAGTCAACGACCTCGCCGTCCTGCTCCCGACCCCCGGGCCCGGCCGGCCAGCCCGGCCCGCCCAGCCCGCCACAACGGGGCTTAGCTCGGACGGCTCTCGGCTCGCCGATATTTACGCCAACTTTTACTTTTGCCGACGCGCGGCCCGCAGCCACGGCGCAGCCACGGCGCAGCACAAGGCCCTCCCTGCCCACCACAGTGTGCTGCCGCCGGCCGCCTCGCCGCCCCGTTGCCTTACTCGGACCGTCACGACGCGTGGACCGCGGCGAGCTTCGCGGCGAGGGGCTTTGGCGGCTAGTGCCTCCGCGGACAAAGTTTGTTGTGGTGTCGGTGGGCCCCTGCAGTCACTGCAGTCGCGTGCCTGGCCGGTCGGCTTCAGGCACACAGCCTACCCCCCCCACACACACACACACAACTGTATGCTCATACGTGCGAGCGCGTACTGCACACTCGGCCCCAATCGGACGTCGTACACTGTGTGCAGCGTGCGGAGTGTGG